CTCTGTTGGATATAGTGTTGGATATATGTATTAAACAATTGAAGCATGTAATAATATTACAGGCGCAGTCATTCGTTTTAGTAAGATAGACACCACGAAATATAATATTGCCTCATATCTTCTCCCGTTTATATTGAGTCTCGGAAAGTATGAAGGGAATTTTTCCGTTCTTCAAAAATGCTTTATCAGGGAAACGGACGCGACAAGCTGTGGCGTATGTGTTTGTATGAGAGTGGACATGATTTGTTCGGACTTCAAAAATGACCTTGGCCTTGTCTCTCCAGACATATTTCGAAGTTGTTGTCTTGGATCTAAAAAACTACATCCGAAAGTACATGCCATATTCAATACTGTATTGGGAAAAGATTGAGAGATAATTGGCTAAGTAGTGAAAACAAATAAACTTTTTGATTAAATTTACATATTTCCCAAAACTAAAGATATTGACGTAATTTTTGCGGATTTTTTCATTATAGTTACTTTTTTTGTCAATATTCATGAGTATTTCGTTAAATATATGTGCCAATTTGCAGCATACAATTGATTTGCGTGTTTCAATACTTCCGCGATGTATAGTAGGAATTCGTCATGTTTTCACTGGATATTGAAGCTTAATAATAAACTGCAAGATTTTGTATTCGATCGTTGAAGTCCAAATTTCAGACATTCAATGATGATGATGAAACTCAAAACAGAAACTCAAAAAGCACCAAGCTTACTGAGCTTTTTTAACAATCAATTAATGAAGGCTAACATGCGCTAAAAATTTTGTTATCAAAATTTGATTTTCAATCCGTACCTATAGTCGGAGTCAGGATTGTTTGCAACCCCGAATCTAGAGTCAGAGTCCATTTTTTTTTCAATTTGGATTTGAATGTAAATTGCCACAAGTGGAACTCGGCAACTTTTTCACTGCTACGAAAAGACATGGGTTATTTCTTCGAATACTGTTTTCGCTTTACTGATCAATTATTTGTATTTCTTTTTTGTTCATGTTGCTTATAAGGAAACAGCGTAACAATTTTTGAGAGAAGGCATTTTGCGAAAAAAAAAATCACCAGTTCAGCTTATAAGGGTGCAATGCAGCAGAATGCTTGTTTTGTCTCACCTGAAAGTAAATAGGATCATCCAGGAGTTATAATAAATTTTTTATATAATTTAATCATACAGAAGCGAAGTTGTTATCCAGCATATATAAAAATATTATTTCAACAAAATCAACCCGTAAATATATACTACTACGATCAAACATAATGATGAGTTGTTACTCAACGTGTGGAGTTGCAGGTAACCAAGCTAATAAAAAGAACATACGTTAGATTTTCTCCCTGAAAAACATAAAAGCTCATATATTTGCATAGTATTTCTGTTATAGACTACTGTCAGCTAATATTATATATAGGCGAGTATCGGGGATGGGTCGATTCATAACTTAGCATGTATGTATCTCACTAACAACACTCTATTCTATTGAGGAAATGTTATATTAATCATTAAGTTAAGTATTTTGTTACGATATCGTTCGCGTATCTTTTCAAACTTCATTGCTTAATAGAACATGTGGTCAAACTATTCATTCATTCATTCATTCATTCATTCATTCATTCATTCATTCATTCATAACTAGAGTATTTTCGTAGACCCAAATGCAGATTGTGCTTAAATTTTGGTTAATTCTACCGTTCATTTGTATTTTTGTGAAATTTCTTCATTTAATTTCAATTTCTTCATTTGATTGGAAAGATGTTGAATCCAGCTATCCACACCTGAAATATTTTTTGAGCCCCAAAGGCAGATCTTGTTCAAATTTTTGGTCAATTTAACGATTTTCCATATTTTTAGGAAATTTACGTTATTGCGTTGTATAAAAAGCATTTCGTTGGAAAACTGATCGAGTTGTTTTCCAATTTCTTCATCTGATTGGAAAGATGTTGAATCCAGCTATCCACTTTTAAAATATTTTTTGAGCCCCGAAGGCAGATCTTGTTCAAATTTTGGGTCAATTTAACGATTTTTCGGATTTTTAAGAAATTTACGTTATTGCGTTGTATAAAAAGCATTTCGTTGGAAAACTAATAGAGTTTTTTTCCAATTTCTTCATTTGATTGGAAAGTTGTTGAATCCAGCTATCCACACCAAAAATATTTTTTGAGCCCCAAAGGCAGATCTTGTTCAAAATTTTGGGTCAATTTAACGATTTTTCGGATTTTTAGGAAATTTACGTTATTGCGTTGTATAAAAAGCATTTCGTTGGAAAACTGATCAAGTTTTTTCCAATTTCTTCATTTGATTGGAAAGATATTGAATCCAACTATCCACACCTGAAATATTTTTTGAGCCCCAAAGGCAGATCTTGTTTAAATTTTGGGACGATTTTTCGGATTTTTAGGAAATTTACGTTATTGCGTTGTATAAAAAGCATTTCGTTGGGAAACTGATCGAGTTTTTTTCCAATTTCTTCATTTGATTGGAAAGATATTGAATCCAACTATCCACACCTGAAATATTTTTTGAGCCCCAAAGGCAGATCTTGTTTAAATTTTAGGACGATTTTTCGGATTTTTAGGAAATTTACGTTATTGCGTTGTATAAAAAGCATTTCGTTGGAAAACTCATCGAGTTTTTTTTAATTTCTTCATTTGATTGGAAAGATATTGAATCCAAGTATCCACACCTGAAATATTTTTTGAGCCCCAAAGGCAGATCTTGTTTAAATTTTGGGACAATTTTTCGGATTTTTAGGAAATTTACGTTATTGCGTTGTATAAAAAGCATTTCGTTGGAAAACTGATCGAGTTTTTTTTTCAATTTCTTCATTTGATTGCAAAGTTGTTGAATCCAGCTATCCACACCTGAAATATTTTTTGAGTCCCAAAGGCAGATCTTGTTCAAATTTTGGGTCAATTAAACGATTTTTAGGAAATTTACGTTATTGCGTTGTATAAAAAGCATTGCGTTGGAAAACTGATCGAGTTTTTTTCCAATTTCTTGATTTGATTGGAAAGATGTTGAATCCAGCTATCCACACCTGAAATATTTTTTGGGCCCCAAAGGCAGATCTTGTTTAAATTTAGGGTCAATTTAACGATTTTTCGGATTTTTAGGAAATTTACGTAATTGCGTTGTATAAAAAGCATTTCGTTCGAAAACTGATCGATTTTTTTTCCAATTTCTTCATTTGATTGGAAAGATTTTGAATTCAGCTCGGATCTTGTTTAAATTTTGAGTAAATTTATCGATTTTTCGGATTTCTGTGAAATTTATGTTATTGCGTTGTATTAAAAAATATTTTTTTGGAAATCTGATCGAGTTTTTTCGAATTTCTTCATTTGATTGACTTCATTTGTTATTCACGTATACATGTTTTTGACATTTATACAACCAGTTTATTGCACAACTTACATAATTTTATTAGAGTATAAATCCTTTTTCTATTCACATCAGACTGGATACTGTATTTATACACAAAATTTTTTAGATCTCATTTTCTTAGTGCAGTTAAATTATTTTTTATTCATAAATTTTATAATGAAACACTTTATATGACATCGTATTTTTGAGCAGCAGGATTTCGCTAGCATTTCGCTAGCGTGACAGAGATTGTAATCGAGTGCGCGAAGTAGTCTCCGAGACGGGTAGTTATAAAATGGCTATGTCCCATATGTCCGCTATGTCCCTACTAAAATGACTATGTCCGCTATGTCCCTACTAAAATGGCTATGTCCCATCCAAAATTGCGTCTCCGATATTTTCCTACTAAAATGACTATGTCCGCTATGTCCCTACTAAAATGACTATGTCCGCTATGTCCCTACTGAAATGGCTATGTCCGCTATATCCCTACTAAAATGGCTATGTCCCTACTAAAATGGCTATGTCCCATCTAAAAAATATCGGAGTTGCAATTTTAGATGGGACATAGCCATTTTAGTAGGGACATAGTCATTTTAGTAGGAAAATATCGGAGTCGCAATTGTAGATGGGACATAGCCATTTTAGTAGGGATATAGCGGACATAGCCATTTTAGTAGGGACATAGCGGACATAGTCATTTTAGTAGGGACATAGCGGACATAGCCATTTTAGTAGGGACATAGCGGACATAGTCATTTTAGTAGGAAAATATTGGAGTCGCAATTTTAGATGGGACATAGCCATTTTAGTAGGGACATAGCGGACATAGCCATTTTAGTAGGGACATAGCGGACATATGGGACATAGCCATTTTATAACTACCCTCCGAGACCACTTTGACAGAACCGGTTCACTGAACTGGTTTTGATGGACATGTATGTGTGTATGTTCTATTGAGCCAAATGGAAAATTCTTGGAATTTGGATAGTGTGCCGTACTGTTAGTCGTTTCAGAAAAGTTCGCAGATATGGACTTACGACTTCGGTATAGCCTTTTTGTCATCGGTTCCTGTTAGTAATTTTGTATCGACATCATTATCATTCAAAGTAGCCTACCGGAAAGTAAAGAGAAAAGTTGATCATAGCATTTGGCAGAAGAAAACGAGTGGATGTGGTCCGAGCATGATAAGCGTTCCCGAGTCGGGTCTCGTGTAGTTTCGTACCTAACAGACTTCTAGTGGGCGTAGCATAACAATTTTTGGATATATCAATCCTAACTCCCATCTGATTACGCCATCCAAAAATTAAATCACTACGACATCACAATGACGTCATAGAGCTTGCCAAATATACGCACGATCGACCGAAATGGCATTGGCGCCGACGATAAAGAACTGACTAACGTTATCGGTCTCTCTCCTATCGGAATCGTTGCGACGAGAAAACGAGAGAAATAACTGTTCGATTTTGGGTGCTTGTTTGCGCGTCTTGGATGGCAGTTCGTATAGTTAGAAGGGCTCTATTACGTCACTGTGACGTCGTAATGACGTAATTTTTGAATGGTGTAGTCAGGGTGGGGTTAGGATTGATACGTGAAAAAATTGTCATGCTACGCCCACTAGAAGTATGTTAGGTAAGAAACTACATGAGACCCCCGAGTCGTTTTGTTCGTGACGGATAAATTCTTGAATGTGGTCACTCTCACATGAATTTTACACAAACTGAAAATTTGGCCTAAAGTCAGTGGTGGTCGACCCGTACAGCAGAATCTTTTCTCGTTAAGTTGATCTTGGCTGAAAATTGTCACACCGATGCTACGGTATCACCAGTAAAATTGACGGAGCAAACCATTGGTTCCTGCTGACATAGAGCCACAACGTGCAACATTCACCAGGCCTCTCTGTAGTCGAGATGTCTGTGCTGCCTCCCCATTCTGTCTGCTACATATCCGACTGGGCCATTACAGTTGTTTTGTTGTTGTTGTGCTTTTTAGAGTACAATTGACAAAGATTTCTCGGTGTTTGCACCAATTCCTTTTCCTCCAGAAGTAGTCTAAGTCGTTATAAAGTTCTTTCAGCTTTTTCTGTTGCAATTTTTGTGAAATTTGTCTTAGAGTGGCAGGTCTGGTACGAATATACTGCTCATCTCCTTTTGCATTGCCATGTGCTGATGTATGGTTTTCACCTGGTTCCTTCCGATATATTCTATCAAAGCAAGTTCCCCTTTTACCTTTAATAGATGTGTTGGGGCCGACAATGTACACGTTAATGGTACCGGTACCCGTTTCCTAGACATTTTAGCGCCTTTAGAGATGCATAATAATTAATACCGCTGTATTTTGAGCAAGTGTTTGGAATTCAGCTGTGGAACTAAAGGAGCGTAGGTTCTTTTGCTTTTCTTTTTCTTGTGAAATTGAACCTCTATAGTGGTGGTAGCATAAAAGTCATATTGGGGATGGCAGAATAGGGATGGCAAAATACGGTCGAAAGGTGGCAGATTAGGGATGGCAAAATAGGGTCGAAAAGTCAAATTGGGGATGGCGAAATGCGGTCGAAGCGTGGCAGATCTATTTCTACGATTCTCCGAATTCGTCGAATTTGTGATTTGAAAATATACATTTTCTTTGTGACCGGTTGGAATTTCAGATAACGCCGTGCCTAGTTCATAACGGTCAAAGACTTAAAGAATATTTTCCAAGCTTAGAAATCCTCTGTTTGGCAGAGCAACGGCTCTATTTTTTGATGCTTCGCATGCATCACATATAGGATTTGATATGTCACAAGTCTGCAATTGTAACACGTTTAGTTTCATATTTCATTGCTGTAGCAACCTGTTCGTTTTCGCTCTTCGACTCGTCTAATATTAAATTGTCATCATTACCAAATTTTTATGAGTCCGATAGTATAGGGGGAATCTGGAATTGAAATCGTTTTTTTTTTTTGTACTGGTTCTTCGAGGAGTGGAGTGGTACAAAATGATTTGTTTTAAAATCTTCGGCTGTTGGTGGAATCGTTATTTGGTCATCGTTCACTGTCGTTTTTGACTGTTGCATGGCTCTGACGTCACGGCCACGAACCGTTCTTGTGGAAGGCTGACTCAAGAAAATGTTGGCGCACGTTTGTGTGTAATAGGATTGAATGGGAGCCTTGATAACTGCACTCAAGCCATACACCTGCATCATTTTTGAGAAACACCCATCTGTTCGAGCTGAATGTACCAAATCCAAATATTTAGACATCACAACTCGATTATCATCAATCTGGTTTTTGAAAGTGGGACATTTCGTGTCGTAAAACTCTGAATGTTCTAAAATTCCAATTGCTGTCAGGAGGCATAAATGCTTGTGATAGTTTTGTGTTCCATATATCAGTATATCGTGGCGGAGGATCAACTGAAGAACCCCCCCCCCCCTCCCCCAGGGTACCCAACTGAAGAATCTCCACCCCAAGTTAGACCAATTGTAGAATCTCCACCCCAACTAAGACCATCTAACCTCACCAAATAATTTGTCCAGGTCAAATGAAGGATCAACTGGTATTCACCAGGTCGAATAAAGGATCTGGTATTATCCGCTCAGGTGGTTTGGGGGAGGGGGGTTCTCTTGTTGGAAAACGGGACTCAGGCGGGTCCGTAAGGGAGATTTTTCAGTTGATCCGAGGTGGATACTGCTCTGTATAAGCAATTTCCATCCCCTTCCACGTACAGACATACCTTGGAGTGAAGTTATCCAGCATGATTGGATGAAATCTTTGCAAAATACTTTTTGACACTGAACATTCTTTCAAAAAATGTTCAGACTGTGGTGCTTCAGGAAGGATATTTTGATGGTTGTCCAATAAACACTTCATCGATTTGGTCAGATAAAAAAGATCTTCCAACAGCCGTAACCGTAACGCTATATCGTAATTGAACTCTTGATATGGGCATAAGCATCTTGCACATAAAATGTGTTTCTTGCCCCTTCTATCATGACTTTTGGTTGTTCCCCAAGGCAAGAAGCATGTGTCCATGACTCACACATTTCAGACTGGATGCACTCGTCAATGCATTCAGTAGAACAGGTGGCACAGGGATATAATTGGCCCATGACACAAATATTAGTAGAGAAGGGCGATCTTTGTGACAGTTCAGTACTTTGTTTTCCTGTTCTAATTCTTACTTGTGCATGCAAGATGTTGTACCCTTCACCATTTTTCTATGAACTTCTACAATGCTAGACTGTACTAAAATGAATTTAATTTACAGATGGAATTTCACAAGCATATTTGTTTTATCAATAACACAATTTTAAACAGCAATTTATTGAGTGAAGAAGATGTTTCCTTTTTAACTATGAATTGTCCTGAAATTTTGCTACCAGCAAGCAGGAACACGGAGTATATTACAAGAAAATATCCTTTGAAAATGTCAAAGTGAGTTTAGATAATCAGTTCGTTTAATACAGTAATAAGTTATTTCCTTCGATTGCCCACCTGCTGTTACTGGTTATACAGTTATCTGGTCATATAGGGCCTGACTGAGTAATTGAAATTGCTAAATTTCAAAATTATAGCTACCGTAACTTATAAAGGTACTATTGTGTATTTTGTTAGCAAGCAATCATTTAAAATTTAAAAAATACAATATTATGCTTTGAATATTTTGTAATTTGTTTTGTTTTCAAATATTTGAATCATTTCACCGATTTCATGATTTCTCATGCTTGATAATTGTTTGTTAATTGAGTGGGAATGAGTCTAAATGCTTAAATGGTAACTTTGTGAATCATACCATTACTTTATTTATCACAGTTGCAACGTTACAAATATGAATAAATTAGTGTCACGTGTGGTCGCATTGAGCAAGCAACTGCTACTACCTGCTGTACATATCTACTATCGTCTTCTCGTGATAATTGGCAGTCGAGTAGCATACACATACATGGACGAAGTTGATGTTCACTTTCCTATCTTATGACTATTATCAGTAGCCTGTTTCTTTTTTGTTCTTATTTCAGTTCCGTCTTCCAGGTTTCTTCATTGTTTTATTGTCTTCTTGAGTATTTCCCTCGCAGTATTTGATAGTGGAAGACACTGGGTTCATATAACAGTTTTTACTTTTGTGGCCATTTTCATATCACAAAAGGTGCGTTTTCATTTACTTGTATTCGATTATGGTGTGAAATACACTTATGTCAAGCAAATTGAAATATATATTTTGTGACACATTATGGTATTGGATACAGCAAAACCTACTAAATGTTACTCTGTGGTCTGGGTGGTGATATTGGGTTGATCGATAGAGTGATCATAAATTGAACCCAGATCTCTAAGTTTAGAGCTGACATGGGCAAACTATGGCCCACGGCCAAATCCGGTCTGTTGGGTACTTCAATCTGGCCCGCCTGATTCTGCCACAACCAAACTAGAACCAAATTTTGATGGGTCAGCTAAAGAATAGCTCAAGGAATTTGTTGAGATTGTGACTGGATTTAGTTTTAGCACAAGGCTTGTATTCCACTTTTGCTTTTGTAATACTGTAAATATTGATCATAAAATGTAACTTTTTACGTCACATGTACATGGCCCCCGACAGTCTATGTGGTGGGCAAACTTTTTTGCTCCTGTTTCAAAAACCTTGCCCACCCCTGGTTTAGAGAGTACCTAATTATTTTTAAACCTATATCAAATTTTAACTAATGTCAAGTGAATTTAATATTTTTTTAGTTTTTTTTTCGAAAAGCGAATCAACCATATCATGATAATGCAATCTTCCTGAAAAGTTTGATTGAAACAAATATTGATCATCAGAAGGTTTTAAGAAGGTGCATTCGATTCATACAAGACAATGAAGTTGCCGCGATGGGATATACATTGTTAGTACAGGTTAATGATGTTTATTGATATCCAGTTAAATTCAATCAGTTCTTCCAGAATTTGAGATTTTTGCTATAATATGTCGGTTTTGATTTAGCAATTGTGTTATGAATGGTGTGAATAAACAAAAAAAAGTACTTGTGAAAGGGCAGCAGATAACTACCGACATAAAGATACATAAGCTACCTAGAGATCATATATAGCTATCAATACATTTGCATTCACTGCACTTTTCAAGCTACAAGGTCAAAGCAACTGGATCATTTTTTACAGAATATCAGGCAATACCCCAATCAGTCGGTTGGAGAGAAGCAAACAGAAATTTGTGAGAGAATGCATGCAACTACGTTATGAAGTATTCAAATCTGCTACTAATTTCGCGCTATTATATCGGAATGAAACTTTGGATATTTTAGGGGAATCTAATGATTTTAAATTTACCTCTGAAATATGTCAGATTCCTCTCGAGGAACTTGGGCCATGTTTTGACCAGGTAAGCCAGGTAAAATAGATATTCATGTAATCACCAGTTTGTAAATCACTTCATTGTGAAGCAACCTTGAAAGGGTATAGCTATTTTTTATAGCTTTTTGTAAGGCTTTTTGTTGTTGGAGCAATAACCGTCACCTCAAATGCCCATGCATGTGTTAGTGAATATAACTGCTTGTATTATATTGTAAATATAACGAAAATTTACTCATTTTGCAGAATACCTCTATGGAACACATCACAAATGTGACTGACAATTTCTGCCTTGATATATTACGAGATGTTGTCAGATTCATGTTTCAACAGCGTTCTGAATTTTTGAAGAATTTAGTAGTGAAAATAAATAAACTGAATTGTAATGAAAACACTGGCTTAAATGGTAAGTCATATATATTTTATATAGTATTAATAAATTATGTACCTTAATAAGATAAAGATTCATTTATGTTTAGTCCTAGTGCAATGAATTAAATTCAGAATTACAATTGATAGTTTTTGTTAAAAACAAGACAGCAATGTTCAGACCTAAATAATATATTCTTACTTTTGGTATAGTTGTGTTGTATATTGCATGCTCGACTTGCAGTTCAAATCTTTTATAGAGCAAATTTTTTTTAATTAGAAAGTTTTTCTAGCTATTTTTTTTATGAAATCAAATATTTAGTATCTCTTTCAGATCATTTATCAAACTTGTTTCAAACATTTTCACCTTTGAAGATATCATGCGATGAAGCTTCTAAACATTTAATAAAAGTTTACAACGCGCATTTGAATGTTGAAAATGATTTGAAATCTGGTGAGTGGGATAGTTGTATATACAAATACAATGTTAAAAACAGGCAAATGTGCCATTTTGGAGTACACTCCATATTGCAGAAAAGGTATTATGAAATGGAACTTGTTTATAGATGGTGTAGTAGATCAGGGGGGCTCCAAGGTTGTCGGGCCACACTATTATTTTGTATTGTTCACGGGCCACGATAATGCCAAGAATAGGTAAACAATGCAATAAAAAACAAACAGTTTTATTGTTTAATTAAACACATTGATCATTACTTATCAAGCTAGAAACGCAAAAACTACCAAAAAACTCACTAAAGCATGCAAAAATTTTAATATATCTATATCTAGGATTACCATATTTTTTGACTTAAAAGCGGGACGCCTCCAAAGACACGACCCCTTAGCTGTGATCCTGTAACTTTACAGTTTCCGATTTTACTACGTAGGCCTACATTTAAAGCTACCCTGACTGTCTCCATTGACCATATTGTCATCAAGAGTTAATGCGCATATTCTCTGTCTAAATATAGGGTTCAGTTCGAAAAATAGAAAAGAATAGATGCTAACGATACAAATGATCCGAATTTAGATTTTTTTATGTACAGCAAAAGGAATGAAGAATAATGAAATAGTTAGCTGTTTTCAAGCATTGAGATTTACTTATTTGCCCAAGCATGCTTTTCTGTAGATGACACCTTCAAAAAGCCGTTGTTCAATACAACATGTCATTCATGTGAACGTCCGAACAGGACCAATCAGACTTGATTTTACGTGTGATACGATCGCTAACAATGTTAGCGGAAAACAACGAAACAAACAAAATAACGCATTCACCTTCAGTAAGTAGGCTAGCTTTGCGATACACAGAAACAACAGTAATGTTATCAAATGCGAGGTACAGAAGGGTAATTACTAAATTTTCTGATATATAGGCATTTATTGTAATTCTGTTTAGGCTGGATGCAAAAAAACACCTGGCAGAAATTATATAGATTGGCAATTGCATTAATATTTAGTTATCAGACATAACCAACCTAGGCTAATAGGTTCCTCATTCGATTTTTAGTGTTTTATGAAGCCTATTTTGTTAGCATATATTCATGACAAAAAAGGAAGCCAGTCTACGACTTAGACTAGCCAAGCAAACTATACAACTGCGCTAGTAGTCTGAGCTATCCATAACACTAGTTAATTCAGTAACATTAGTGATGTAACAATATGGCAAAAAAATTTTCTGGTTATTTTTATGACAAAATATCACCATGTGATTTTTCGTTTCCCGAATAATGTGACGCGGGCCACCGATAACGGAGCAGCGGGCCTTGGTTTGAACCACCCTGGTGTGGGTAAACACAATATGTCATATACATATTGCCCAGCACTGTGATGACTATATTATGGTTTTTCACTCCAAACTACTTACAATTCCTTTGCAAGGTAGCCGGATGGAGAATACTAAAGATTCCACATCCAGGTCCATGCTCAACATTTCTCTTCACAGCATTCAAGTTCACCTAAGATCAGCACTACAAGTGTGAGTCAGATGAATGACATTGGATTTGCTTGTATCAATTTTCTCCATACTGCATTGTCATAGTAATTATATCCTCTGTTTCCAGTGCAATTGAAGCTGAACAAAATTGTGATGAAGCTGATGAAGATTTTAACTTATTGTTGAAAGGTGAGAATTGCATCGTGATTGCCATATTTTTTACGAAAATATATATTTCAAATAGAGGTACATAGCATATACAATGTATTTCTCTTTAATCTTTACCATATACATTTTATCATATGTTGATCTTCAATATCTATCCCAGTCTTTTTTGTGGAATTACAACTCGTATATCGCACAATGTGCCTTTTTTTCATTACAATATGGCTTCATGTTATCACTTGTAAATAATTCAGGGCTTAACTGGATATCTCCATGGATGAAAATGTTTACAAATCTTCTATCAAACATGACCCACTTGTGCCAAGCAGGAAATATGAGGATTATTGTTTGCAGCAATGATCTTTTTCATACCACTTTGATACTATTACATCAATATCACACTGGGTAATCAACAATGTCATTGCAAAAAAATGTATATCTATAGTATGTACAGTAAACTATACCCTTTTCAGACAAACTCCTGCCTCAGGTTCAAATTCATGTTGATGCTACTAATCAATGTATAGCGGAAACTTTAAAATGTCTCGAACCTGTTTTAAAAGAAAATAATATTCCAAAAATCAGACCTAATTCTGATTCCATGTCAAACTCAAAATCACTAATTGACGAGTCTTCGCTCAATAATCAGGATGAAATCAGGGAAGATCAGGTAAAGTTTATCAGCCTAATTAATGAGAGTTCTGAGTCCTTATGAAGTGAAACACCACCTATAACTACTTGATTTAGCATACCATTGCTCGCTATAGTTTGAATGAGGTAAATCTGGAATGAGCAATTGCCTTGCTGATAAAGGAATAAGTGGAATTTTGTATAGTTGTACTTTCCAGTTGTGCCCAATTGTGGAGAAGGTGTCAATGAAAACTGTTACTGTTGTATCCACCACAAAAAATCTCGCTTCAAATGTTATTTTCTTTTGTTTATGTTGGGTTAACTACTATTTGCCTTTTCTCTTGATCGTGTTGACTTGAACCAATTCTCAAGGCAACGTGTATTCATTGGTACTTTAGCTATTGATGTTCAAGTGGGCATCCATGATTTTTGCTCAGAGGTGTGCTTACTTTTCTTCAGAGCTAGTTCCGCAACCATGCTTTAAGCAATAAATAATAAATTGAAGCTAGTAAATTTTACGCTTCAGCCAGAACTTTTCTGAGGATAACCTCCAAATACACTTTTACCAAATGTTATTTCAATATATCAAGGTATTTGAGGCGACCACTGAAGACCTGGAGAACGATGATACTGATAAAATTGATAATGATACAGAGTTCCAGAATATGCGCAAGAAGAGAATTGAAGAAACCACTCATGTTATGAAAGAACTTAAATCCGTACTTCATATGAAAACTTCAGTGGAAGAACGGGAAATTCGAAAACAAAAACTGTTTCCAAATTATATACCAAAGACTGATAATTTTGTTAACATATGCGGCAATGAATCTTCAACTTTGATGTCTTCCACACTACCAGACATGAAAACGACTGCCGATCTTAGGGGTATTACACATGTAGAAAATATTTCAAGTGGATGCTTCATGGCTGAAGGGGAATTGCCCGCTTCAAGTCACACTCTGTTAAAATTGCCACGGAGACCCTCGATACCAGGAAGAACTAAAAGAAAAAAATCGCATATCCGAAGGAAACAATTTCAGCCTTCTACACGTGACAATAGGTTTCAGGAACAGGCGATTAGTGGAGACGATGGCGATAGTGAATCTGATAAAAGCGTTGTACATCTCAGCTTTGGCTTTTCTTCATCGATAGCCTCTCAAGTTGCTAAGGTTGCTTCGGATTCATCATTCAAAGTTTTTGCTGATTCAGCAGGAGTTGGGGTGCAGAAGAGAAGTTTGGTTGGCGAAGAAACTACTTTTGGTGATTCTGATTCAGATTCTTGATTTCTTCAATAAATTTATTTGTAAATTATATAGTTATGGTGGTTTCAATGATAGAAAAGCTTAGGGATAAACCACTGTTTAGCAAACCTTCTGTCTGTGGGTTCAAGTTCCTAAACTGAGAGTCTCAAGTCAAGTGCGAGGTCGGCAAATTTCAAACTCTGATACCATGCATGTTATACAAAGTCTAATCGTGTCCCTGCGGTATCTAGTGCCAGTCGTTTAAAAAAACGACAGTGAAATAGATAAATTAGAGGAGTCGCATTACCACTACATCTTCGATTTTGCTTGTTCAAAGGTTTAGTAATTTGGATTGCTGTTTCACTTTTGTGGAAACTTACCAAGGGTTCGAAAGACACCTGCCTTCATAACCTGCGCGGGTGCAAATTGCTAGACTGCTCAACGACAGTAGTTTTACTTCTTAGCACTTCATAAAGAAAATTTTTCTTTCAATCGCCTTGGTAATTGTTGTTTAAAAATAGTATATGAGCTCACAAAAAATTCTAGATATTACGAACATCTCCCGAGGCGAATGCAAAACAAAAAAAAATCAAACCGTCTTGTGGTCGGTAAAGCCTGTATACCTCCACTTCGTATGCTTGAGAACTCAAAACTACGCCTGTTATTTTCTATTTTTTAATAGAAAAATGTATATAACGGTATGAACTGGCTATCTATTTGAATGGTTGCGCAATTTTGTGGTTTCGAGTGACAAATGGGTAATGTCTAATGTGAGTTGCAGCTAACGACTGTCTTGCATTCGGGAAATTATGCATAAATTGAGGCCCAAATGTTTTGTTCATGTAGCTGACGTAGTGACGACATACAGTGTTTACCGAAAATAAGACCGGGTCTTATTTTAATTTTTCTTCGAAAAATACCACTAGGGCTTATTTTCGGGGGATGTCTTATATTTTCATATATCAAAAACAAAATTAAAAAGTGGAGAATTGCGAGATTTTCAAATAGATATATCACGAGATCCCGTGATATGCGTTCGTGGAACCGCCACAACATTCACAAATTTTGATGACGTCGTAGCACACAAAGAACGAATCCCATAGAGCTCACGGAAATATTTTAAATAAATAAAAATAATAGTCTTCTGGAGAAAAATAAAATCTTTGACCTTCAATTTTCAAAGCAATTGGTCCAGTAACTAAAGAAAAAAGCGATTTTTTCATAACGATCGGAAGAAAAATACCAACAAGAACAACAACATATGAACAAAACGATCCATAGAATTAAAATTATGCTTTCCTAATAACTCTCCTCTTTCACGCAAATATATGTTGATATAGTTAATTAATGTATTGAATATAAAATTAGTTCCACTAAATCAAATCAGTTACTGCAATAAGTTTCATGGGAAATTCAATGAGAGATTAGTGAATACTCGTGCCAGTATTGTGATATCATCACTCTGTTTTAATGATATATAAGAAAGTACATTTTATCAAACAAATATGAATTTTATGATGTTCTTGACTTATACCTTCTACACAATTAAATGTCGCTGCTGAGCAGCCAAATCTTTTAAGTGATACTCAACTTTAAGACATGCTATTGTTTTGTATCTTAATTTTTGACATCATTAACGGAAGATATTTACACTAGTCAACCTGATTGAGCCTTCAATGAGGCTTAATGCGAATCTGGCACTTTACAATGGGCTCACGGCAAATATAGAAACGGGTATATGTTTTCATATCAAACAAAACTTTTCTTTTGTGGCGACATGTCGAGAGCTACGCGCGTTAAATGTGTAATAAAATACACTCCTCGATTTCATGGGTTTTAGTAAAGAAGTTTTCAAAAACGTGATGGATATATCCAACATTCTTTTTGTTTCATGACAGAACACGGCTAACAATCTGGCTTTCTACATTAATTAGATGACAATATGCTTGGATAGTTAGGAAGCCAAGATCAGTCAGCATGCTGGTCAACGTTGTTACCGTTTATACACCTTCCAAACATTGCTGTACCATTTGAAAATGATTCAAATTGTATCAAGCCCGGGCTACTAATGATTGAATTACTTACGAAAAGCATTTATTTAACATATTTTTAGTAGCATCTGTTTAACTACGTTTACCCTTTTGTATGTACAGTAAACACACCAATTTTTCTGGCGGTCTCCGTTGCTAAGAGACGCAAAGACGGCGTTCTCGCGCTCCGAGGATCAATGGTGATCAATGGAGCGTGGGAGGGAACACGACGCGGTTCGTCAAACGAGACTGGTTTATCAAGACGCAGGTATCATATACCAGATGGCTTTAAAGAAGGGTTCCGTTCTAATTTTTCACTCATTATTTCCTTATCTTTGTATTAATGATTGGCCTACAATAAATCCGTTTCTTCGGTTTAAATGCTCTTTTGGTATCTGCCACCAGCTGTCTCAGATTGAATAATCTATATTGAAAGATAGGAACAAGTGTATGGGCAAGCTTTATGTTGAAGTACTGCGAGAAATTTCGCCTGGCGATGAAGGACTCTTGTACACAACTTCACAAGCCTGAAGTATTGAACCAGTCAGTTGTAGTGCAGTCGAAGTGAAGGTTTTGGACAAGATCTATAGCAGATGGTAATGAGGCTAGTGAAGAGATCTGACGCGTGAATTCAGATCAGTATCTTAAACAAACTGACTTACATTAGGTATTATCGCTTTTTGAATATTACTGCAAAAAGTGCATGTGATTTTATGATCAATCTTCGCAGTCATTTGCATTATGACAGAGTCGCTGTTGCGAGGTATTAAAAAAGTTTACTGCAAATATGCTCGAGTGGGGCCGCTCGTATATTCGCTGCAAACGCTGGGTTCACGTTCGTCGAAAATTAGTTTTAGACTGTGTGACAACTGACAAGCGGTGATATATGTTTCTTTAGCGTTGCCGTCGCTAGAAAAAACAGTTTCACGGCCGAACCTTAACAACGGTTGGAGTTGTTGACATAAGACGTAAAATCCGTTATATTGTCAATTTTTACTACTTATCCATTTATTGGAGTTTTGTCGAGGTTAATAGAGCCGTAAATCCACTTTTCAATTGCTATCGCACCAAAGTTCGAACTAATTTATCTTATTATATTACCTAGCACTGGTTCAAGACTATACTATGAAAAAATGATCAAAAGCAAGTTGAATTGGTTTAAAGAATATGGAGGTTAGTTTCGGGAGGATTTGGTACCAATACGAAGAAAACCATATTAGGATTGACAAAGTAAATGCAATGTTCGATGGTTTACGAGCGAAACAGCGTAGTAATTGTCTTACACGTGAGAAGTTCACAATTTACATTCAGTTCGCCGACAAAGTATTGAGTTTGCTGTAAAAACTCAACGATAATTTGAATTGTGATGGCTTGTTATCTACCGCGAGGCTGTGATCATATCATACCTAATTGTATAGGTGCACAATTGATCTGACTTGGCCATTGAATGAGCCGATTTTCAGAATATGGTCCAAATGTCTAGTTGGGGTTTATGTTAAATATATTATCTAACACAGTGGTTCTAAACTTTTGTAAGCAATCCCAGTTTTGTAAAATCAAAAATTACAGATAATCGCGAACCCACAACAAGTAAAGTACAGCAATTGCCAAAATCAGTACATTGCATTTAATTATCCTATGAAGAACAATGTGCCTGTAAATTTTGGAATCTTGCTATTTCATTAGACGTATAGGCAGTAGATTTTTTCATAGTTGTAAAAACAAGTATATCTAACTCCCGGCAAAATATTTTTCCAATTCATCCTAACATCAAAATCGAAGTCAACCGAAAGGTATGATGGTTAAGTTTACTGGAGGTCGCAAGCCACAGTTTGGGAACCACTGATCTAACCGACAGACAGAGTAATATATCTTCAAATTTCACTAAAATGCATAGGCTTATCCGTCGAATTGCGCAAAGGAAACTTGTGCATATCGAAATTGTTCGAACTATTTGAAAATTCGGACCTCCTGAAGTATGCGCACCAAGATGGCGCAACCTGAACTCAGGTTGTGTACCAGGTGAGGGTTCAGGTTATGCGACATCTTGGTGCGCATACTTCAGGAGTACCGAAAATTCTATACAACATCACAGACCAAATTCTGGAAACCTAAAGAAGTTCAGAACAAAAGAAGTTAAACTATTGAAGGACTGACAGCTTGAAATGTAATAAATTCAAATCATCATGTAATTTATTAAGATATCAACACCGTAAAAATTGCGTGAACTCAAAAAACTTTATTCGATTCCGCCTGGGATTCTAATTATATCGGGCCATCTCTGCTAAATTTTACCTCTAATCATTGCGCAATCCCGCACCTTATATTGTTTTCTATTAAATGGTTCACGGTGTATTTCGGAAACTGTGTTCATTTATTCAATATATTTTAATTTCAGCCTATTTCTTAATATTTAACTATTAAGTAACAAAATGGCATGATAGTGTGAATAACAAACGTAAAAAACTTGGTTTGAAAGAAGGAGTATGTCGTCGGATTCGGAAGAAAGTTCGTTATATTTTTACGCACAAAGGAATACTGCACGACGATTTAAAAGAGTCAGAAAAGAACCTGAAGAACTCCCACAAGCTTTGAGGTTGGTGGCTTCACAAACAAATTACATTTTTCTAGTGAATTTCAAATATTTTAATTTTTTGAATATATTTGAATCAAAAATAGGTTCACATTTGATGACTGACTTCACTATGGAGGTCATCTGCGTCTCGCGTACAATGCGCTTTGTGTACGTGAATCTGTGAGTGCTTTGTACTACATAGTTTCCCAAGAATACCGTTTCATAATCACCCAAAATCATTGACATAACTAGATATTGTATTTTGTGTGCAAATCGCCAATGCCAATTCAACATGCCTTTCATATAAGACATGTATTTATTTATAGATACTTCAAATATGCGAATCTGAATCCAAGAATCGCTGCCTTCCTCGGCAAACAAGATCCAAAAAACTTGGTGAAAAGATCAGGACAAAAAGGTGGCGGGCAAGATGAAAAAGATGGTAATGGAGAGGCGAAACCTGCTGCCACTGAAGCTAACATTAATGATTCTCTTGGACTCCTTGGGTTTGGCGATGCCGGTCTTAGTCAAGAGGCAAGGAGTTTGCTTCCCGAAATTGGACAGGGTGGTCTTGTAAAAATGGGAGCTATGGAGGAAAGCTTTGGACCTTCGCGCTTATCATTTAACGAGGCGGATGATCCTCAACGGTACCAGTTTGAGGAAACAACATTTGCAGCGCCGAATATTTTGCGAGAACTTTCCGATACTCTCGCTCGATTCGATCACGCCTTTAGGGAATACACGAAACGAATGATAGTGCACGAAGACGTTGAGGATAGTGAAAATTCAAAACCTTCGGATGTTCTGCCAAAAGGACTCAATCACATTTTGTGTCAAGAATGGCCTGAACTCATCTCTGAAACGATATATACACCCCGGCTGTGGCAATCACAGGCCTACAAATCCGGTTATAAATATGCTTCTACTCTAGCCAGCGGGCGACAAATGACAGCAGCTTCCGGTGCTGTTGAGAAAGATAGTGGAGCAAAGGGAGATATGAAGGTAACTCGCCTTTTGTATACATGAGGTATATAATTTATTCAAAAGTCGATAGCGTTTTTATATAAAAATGCAATATAGTCAAACTAGTGGTATTGTATATATATAAGAAACATCTGAAACGTATTATTTCAAATGAACAGGCTAGTTTAATTTATATATTGATTTAACAAAAAGTTTAAACAATTATTAATATTGGTTTGGTTATTATCAGAAATCTTTATGGTAGGGAGATATGAAGAAAATGAGCCATTTAGGTATCGATATAAGTATGTATAATATAAATGTTCAAAAATACGTAGGGAATCGGATTTACTTACATTTTAGGATATCTTGATATACAACTTTTTTATTCCAATAATTGCCAATTATATTCATTACCAATTTTAGGGTATGGTGGATTTACTAGATGGTGCTCGGATGAAACCGTCAACCAAATCATTAGTAGCTGACAGCAGTACTGTTCATAAAAGGAAAGGGAAAGAAATGGACAAGGATGTAATCAAAACTCATTTAGCAAAACTTGACGGTGGGTATATAAAGGTAGTCTAGTAACAACAATTGCAATTAAGGCAAAATACATCAAATAAAGTCGCTTTTGTGACACTATTGACTTGTTAACGTATAAGCCGAGAGGCTTGATCAACATATATTCATTTTCATTAGCAGCTTAGTTTCTGTCGACCTTTGAATAGAAAAGAGGTGGAAGCGGAGTAGATTGAAATGAGTCATCAAATTTTTGCTCTATTTTATGTTATTGGTTGATGTTTCTAGAAGATCGAAAAGGTTATCAGCCCAATTATGGGAAATGTGGTTAAATGAGGTTAAACGTCGCATCGGGATATCAAAAGTTCGTGTCGTCGCTGACTCAAAGTCGATTTGCCTATGCATCGCGATCGCGGTGCCTTCTCCTAGCTAGATTCTAGAATCTAGATTTAGTTTGTTTCTGTACTAGCTTAAACAACCTATTGTGACTCATAATTTTCGTTTGAAAATGATTATATTTTATTAATTATGGTGTCATAAAAGATTTAATAATGGAAAAACGGCGAATGCGAGTCGTCGTCGGGCTTAGTTGGTCTCGTTCTGCTGCGCGCGGTGCATGGTTCAAGTGCGAAGATGTCTTCTGCGGAGCTTCTAACTCCGGTCGAGGAAACTCTTGAAGATGGAATTGAAGAAATAAAGTTGGATGATGAGTCTTCAGTTCTCGAAATCGCGGAGTATATGACTGAAGATGATTTAGAGCGAGGTCAGGAAATATGCATGCTGTAGCTTGTAGGACAAGTATCGTTAGTCTAAAAGTTGACTTTATGTTAAGTTTAGGTTACCGTAAATAGGCAAAGTCGTATAAAACATTACCGGTATGGTGTTTTTGAGTGGTCTTTTCAGGGTTCCGAAATTTATGCCCCTCCTCTGAATCATCAAGTAAGTTAAATATTTAAGGCAAATTTGACGTTACACAGTACCTAGATTATTTGAATTTATCTTCATCAGCAAACAATTTATTTGAAAACCCTCAGTACATTTTGACCGCACATATCTCACACACCATAACATACATCGTCGATTAAGAACTACTGCTCAGCGGTTAGGAAATTGCTCTCCTTCTGAGTTCACCCGAGCTTGGTATAAAACCGAGTTTTCGTTTGGAAACTGCATGAACCCTAACGTAAAACGATCATACAAACCGTAATTCTTTCCCCGAGTTTTATCCACAGCTGACATCTCGAATAACTGATTCAACAACACTACATAAACCAATCAACCTCCCCTATTCCACATCGGATGTTTGATACCCCAAATCCTCAAAAACAAAAATCCGACAGAACGACTGTGGTAAGTGTTTGAATGGAAATAGTTAATTTAGTACCATTACACTATATCGACAACGCGTCTTATTCAGCAACTTGATATTTTATTTGTCTCAACTCCTCCTCACTTCTCAAGTCCTCAATCACTTCTTCGCATGATATGAAAATTTAATTAAAATTGGTGATCATTCCCATGTACTGTGCAATTTTGTGAGCACTATATCATTCCTCATAATAACACTCATAAATTGTATACTTTTGATGTAGCTTTGAGACTTCTGAACCCAAGACTCTTAATACCGAGGGATTCTGATGACGATTTACTGTTAGTAGAGGAAGACAAACAAATACACAGAAATTATTTTGAAACCGAACAAGTTCTCGCCTCATCCTTGTCTAGTAAAAAGTCTCGCCCCAAAGTATCTCGAAAATCAATAAAAACCTCTCGTGGAGTAAAAGCACGGAAGATGTTGAAAAAACAGATGTTGGTAAACAAACGCTCCAAGAGGTCGCAACTTTCAGTCGATCGCCCATCGGCAAAAGTGTCTCGCATGGCGCATTCCAGGGATAAGTCCGCAGGTGCGATTTCTTTTGATGCATTTCTTTGTAAGCACCTATCTTGCGGCACTCTGACTGAATTGATTCCTCTCTTGCAGGTTCTGCCCTGCGCGTTGACAGACCGGGGAAACTTCGAAACATGGAAAGAACAACGTCAAATATGCAAACTCAAGGTCCCGTATGAACAACTTGTTTTAGCCCTGAGGCGAAGGCCAGATCCTTCGTATCTTTCCTTAATTTTGTCTCATTTCCAAGTCGACTAATCACATTGGTGCAATACAACCTTCTTCGGTTTCAATTTTGTCCATATACCTAAGTTCCATTCAAGATCTGTATTCATATTCAGCGAGTTTTTTTTTACATTATAATGATTTTCTGAATACAACCTTCATTATAAAGTAAAGATCAAGCAAGTTTATGCCAGGAAATTCGACAATTTTTGATAATTTAGACAACGGTATGAGGTGCAAAACAATGTCTTGCTGATATTGGGAGAGTTGGATGACTCAGGGGTGGGCAATGTTTGGGATCAGGTGACAAAATTGTTCAAAGGCAGAGTAGTGGGACATGCAAGTATAAAACAAGAATGAGTTACCGTTTATGAACATAATTATTTACAAAAGTATTCGGTGACAAAAAATTTCAGCTTAGCTAGGCTCATTTCAGACAGCTATTAGAATTCATAAACAATCACGGCGACTGTCTATTCCGCGGGTATAGTGAGTTTAATGAAAATTGCGGACTCGCGGATTTTAGAATGCGGTAATACATAGCTAGGGGTACCGTATGGTTTGTATTTTGATCACCATAACATTTTTAACATGAAAATATGAATTATTGTCAACTATTGATCAACCATACAAACCAGCGATCGTGATTATAGAATTGCGGTTACAATCAGACGTTTATTTCGAAGTCAGGCGAGTCGAGGTAAAAGGTTCGGCGAGCCGGATTAGGTTCGCGGGATGCCGTTTTCCCATGTTTGTTCGAGACTTCGACCCATTAAATTGTGTCCGCCCTGTTATAGAATACCTTTTATTCTAGCCACATGTACCAAACATACTTTATATTTAGATCGCCTTACGCGTCACGGAGGTAATCCCACCCTGAGTTTTAATCTGTCGTCAAAAAGAGCGTTCGACGAAGGATGGGTTGTCAACGCACCACCAGACCCGGATCTAGAGCAAAGTAATCTACTTGAATGGGCAACTGGTCGTTTACAAATGGCCATCAAACAAAAGTGAGTTCGATTTGCGTACATAGTATTCAAAAATGCTTTACTACAGTCCCATTCGCCAACCGATAGTTTTCACAGACGATTTGAGATTCTTAGCTCACAGGGCTCATGTGAAATACGCATACCATAACATTCTGACTTTAGGCAGTCTGTCGATCGTAAAGAATACGTGTGTATATAAGTATAAGAGGAATTTCCGTATACAACTTGTAACCAACAAGTTTACTAATTCTTTTTCAGAGAAGACGAAGAGGACTATGCAAGAAAAAAAGGATGTGATAAACCAACTATCATCCGATATTATGGCGATAGTCGTAGAGATACATTGATGAAACTATACCGGTTTGTACCTATTCGTCAAGCTAAGAATGTTGTATGCCTTATATTTGAAAATGCAGATAGGTTTGTCGAATTAAAGATCGCTTGCAACTTTTCAATCATTTATTTTTGCCATTTTTAATTGGCCTCGTGTAATGATTTATAAAAAATTTATCATTCGAATTTCAAGCAGCGATCACACAACACTTTTTTTCAGAAAATCAAATGAAAGCGAATCTTTACAGTTGAGAAGAGCAAGCACTGTGCCAAAGATCCCTCAATTGAGTAAGATAGACAATGCTCAGAGGGAAAAGTTTATGGTTCAACTGCCTGATGCATCTACAACAATATTGTATGCATTTTTAAGACCTATTTTTCGCTAATTAGTTGAAGTTATGTTCGTGTTAATCAGCCTAATTGCTTCAGTGTTTTTATTCATCATTTTTAACACAGATTAGTGATTTTCATATTTGGAAAATTTTAAATATAGATCTGTTTTACATCATAACTTATGTGCCAGATTTTACTTCCTCAAAATTAACATGAATTTTGATTTTGTTCTCAATTTACTTCAAATTTGATAGTCGATTTTATACAATACATGACGTTTGTGACATCACAATGCCGTAAAATTGAAGAAAAAAAATGTTTACTAGGAAATGACAATTGAACGTTAAAAACTCTTAACTGGAGATTAAAATTGAGTTGTGTAACCAGTCACACACGTGTTTCATATTAATTCTTTGTTTTCTGATTTCAGTTATCCTTCAACTGGAGAAGTAGCAATTATGGCAAGTGCTGTACCATTTAAGCCAGGAGAGGTATACGTAAATTGTTATGATAGCGATGAGGAACGTACCTGCCTCGCTGCTTTTACTCCATATGGCAAGGTCGGTCATGAGTCACGATTAATAAGTTTTTTAATTCGCCAGAAGGGGTGTTTCGTGCTGTTTAGTTAGATATTTGTCATATTCGCCGGTCTTGTGATTTTACTTTTTCTTGTCATAACTTACGTATGTCTTGTTGATTTACTTTAGTCTTGTTGCTATCACAAAAATGGAGCGCCCGCTTTGATTCTATCAGAGATAGGAGGAGTACTAAAGTCAGATGATGGTAACGTCATCAGAAAATGGAATTGGCCAAAATATGGGAAAATGAAGGAAAATATTATTTACCACGTGCGTAGGAAATGTAGTTCTTACCTTCGAGAAAATGCATTTTTTTTTCAGAAAAAAAATTTGGTTTCCTGATATTTGTTTGTTATTTATTTGCGTTATTTTAAGTTATTCCCCAATTTTAGAAATTAATAACATGATGAATTCAATGAATAACCCAATCTGTTGAAAAGATTGAACTATCTTTGGCTAAGTGTTAGCGACAATTTTGAAATGCTCATTTATTATAAAGAAATATTTGAACATAAAATTCAAACAAATCCCGAATCCAACCTTTAGAGCCCGACGCTACTTACTATTCTGTGCAGTACTGTTGAATTTAATATTGCGTACGCCTACAATTGCTCATAATATTAGCTAAAATGAATTAATCAGAATCACAATGTCTGTTTTGTGCATTTCTTATGTCAACTTGTGTACATATGGCATAATATATGGAGTATATTGGTAAAATATTATTGAAAAATAAGGATTCTGCATCTTTATGAAATATCGTTTTGTTTGTTTATTTCTTGATCTGACCAATGACCACAATAACAAAAGACAAATGCCGCCTTTGTTTGTATTGTCCATTGGCACAGGTGTTTATGATTGATCGTTTTTCGAAAGTTAAACCAATGTCAGAATGTACTGGATTTTTGGTCGGGTTTGAGTTTTCGAATCAGCAAATAAATTTTTTTGTTAGAAAATGACTTAAATAATAATTTCCTCAAGTATGTGATATATGTTATGCTGTGTTCAAGGAAGGTACATGCTATATTAAATTTAGTGTGTTTTCGGCGGTTGATATTATTAAATAAATATTTTTTTTTGGGTTCACGTAAAAGTGATCACGTTTACACTTCTAAGATAGAAGGACGAATATTTCTTTTGTTCTTGTGTTACTAAACATCATACAATAACTAAGCAAACACACTGACACCAACAGTGATTTTGAAGAAACTCGTAGCTTCATGATTTGACTTTGTTTGTACTTGTTTATGCCGATTTAATCATTAGGTTTTGTTTATATTTTCAGATCAACAAAGAAATGTACGTTCGGGTGCTTAGTCGTGAAAACGTTACACTGTATTTTTCGTGTTCTCGTGAAACTCATAAAATCCCGGTGGGAGCTGTTCCAGGTGTGATGTCACCAACTGCGCTAACAGCTGATGCCATGGCAAGTTTTTACTGTAAAAGTATTGTCATCGTTTGTGATATAGGCATAACTTTTGTACATAAAAAATTTGTGTTTTCGGGCATCCAAGCAGAGTTTCGAATCACGATTCGTAGGAGTGTTCGTTTTCATTCTATCCTTCTTTACAGGGGTACTTTAGACATTACTGGATTAAAATGGGACTGCCAGTTTGGCACAATTTTGAACACCCAACAATGCTTACTTTATTCTCTGCGTAAAAGCGAACTATTATATGTAGCACTGGCCCGCGAAGTTAATTGAAAATATTTACGAAAATAATCATGTGAATATTCGCATGTGCAATTTTATTTGGAGTTCAAAAATTTTAGTAATATAACTAAATTAAATTTAATGACATATGAAAGGTAATCATGAAATAGCATGTTTGAAATGATGAAACTACAGTACGGTGCAAACATATATTTAGACACTGCTGTATATATTTTGGGTAACGAATCTTGATTAGTACTACCAATATGTACTGAAAAAAAATCAAAGTTTGATACGTTTCTTACAACTGATCTTTGTACCAGGGAGTGTTACAGGCGGGTTTAAGATTAACTTCAAAATCAGCTCTCGAGCACAGTGGGCCCATGCGTTCAATCAAAGACGAGAAACAATCAAAAATGAACCGAACAAGGAGACATTTGCTGGGAATGCGAAAACAGGTATCACTTATAATAGTACATGTTTTTGAATAATTTTGATGTGACTTTACGATGATTCTGATGAGCAAGCAATGCATGACATCGAGGATCTATAAGAATGCAATGAAGCTGAAACGGACGATCGTATTCAAACTTTGCGTTAGTTTTGCCCCCCTCCCCCGAATACATGTGTAATATAACATAAAATGTAACTAAAAACATAAAAAATGTTTGTTTTTCGACTTGGTGTTCTCAAATAGCACCAAAAACGTAAATAGCAACAAATGCATTTTCGCAATAGTATTTTTAATCTATGTTGTTGAAATTTTCTGTCAACAAATGTGATTAAGTTTAACCTAATGTAAGGTTGAGTTTTTATTTTTCAGACCAAGAAAAATAGCGAAATCGAAGAGCTTAAAAAATCTCTCGATACTCCCGAACGTTTCGAGTTCGAATCTCAAGCGGATCGAGAACTGCAAAGACTCCAATATAAATCAAAAAATATTGTGGAAGATTGGATGGAGCATTACAGAGTCGCGGTTGGAATCAGTTCACCTGCATTGAAAAAAATGATGGACAGATCTGTGGTGAGAACTGCCGTAATCGCAAAAGAAATAATATCAAAAAAGAAATACACGTTGTTTGTTTCCGATTTTTTCGCAAAAATGGTTTCATTATGAGTTCCGTTATGAGGGGGAACTCATGTAATAAGCGTCTCGGTTGTGTTTCGTATTGTACTTGTCATCTCGCTTACAGGCGATTGCATCTTATAGTTCGGATTTAATCCTAGAACTCAATCGGAAACCTAACAAAGAAGTCTTCAAACGTTCTGTTTCTATAGGCCATAAAGCGCTGTTATAGGTATATCATCGGAGTCAGTAAAAAGTAAGCCGTAGATTTATACTCAGTTGCAAGCGTATCACTGCAACCCTATTGTCTGCATGTCATTTTTCTTCCATTTTATTCTGCTGTTATCCCACATTATCAGTTATCAATATCCTCAAAATGTGGCTAGATATTTTAATGATAGTGACATAATTGTAATATTATAGCGACTAGTTTGAAACCCTAACATCAGATTGCGTTCTAAAATTGTCTGACAAACAAGCTTCAAGTTACGTTCCAAAACTGTCTTTATGAGCAATAAATACTCTGATATGCAAACGTGGATTCGTCTGGTTTTACATATTTTCATTATACGAGTATCCTTTTCAGATCAAAAGTTCGAAGCGAGCTATACGCAGTGCTGTTGAACGGAAGACAACATCTGGGGGTATCGGACTCGAGGAAGCAGCGGAAGATCTTATCAGAGGTTCGACTCGATATCAATCTTTCCGCTCTCCATCAGCCCCGCCGAAACACATGGTTCTTGCTCCAAAGAAACGGGTGAGTGATGCGAGGGTAACAAGTTTTGGAGCAATACCTTAGGCAATTTTTATGACGCTATTTTTGACTTCTGTTCTCAAAATTTGGCCGGTTACTATTTAAATGTATATGCTGCGTTTTCTCCGGAGATATTTACTTTGCTAAATCAAGTTATTTACTTATAACAAAATCATCCATGCTGCGAAACTCTCTTGTAGACGTTGTCTGTGACCTCACAACCTTTTTCGCTCGTTAACGCTTTCAATTCCACAAATTTACATTAACAAAGAACTAGAATTCATAACCCAGCACCCCAAGAAAGCTTTCCAATTTATGGCATTAATAAATACCTAAAATGACCTGGCGTATAGATGTTACCCAAATATGATCTTACAATATTTGAATAGTTACCAAAACCTGTCTGCATTCAGACTTTTGTACAAATGACTTCGACCGCACCGTGTTTTAAGCCAGTATAGTGTTATACATGTACTGATGTCCAACAATAATATTGTTACCTTAATTATATATCATATTAGTACGAGACAAATAAACACACATACAATAAGTTATTCAATTTCAGGAACATACTTTCTAAAAAAGATTACATACCATGGCGACTCAATAAATTTCATTTATTATTTATTGAAAATTATCAAGCCAATTTTTAACTGTCACAGACTTCAGTTTCATCAGAACCTGAGTCAAAAATTGATGCTGAAAAACGTACACCTGGTACTGAAACGCCTCATGTACGAATCGATGAAGGAGAAAAAGATCAGAAACCTGAAACCGCAGGTAGATCTTCATACTCGTGAACCATAAGCGTGATGTTTCAATAGTAAATCAAGTTTTCATGATGATTTAATCATTGATTATCAAGCAATATTGAAAACTGATGAATGAGATTGTTATTTGTACAAAAAAAAATTTTCAGTTTTATAGAAAAACAAGTAAATATTATTCAAATTAATAAAATACAGAATACAATAAAATTGCAATCACCAATAAAATACATTTTATTTTGCACAAAATGTGAATTATACGTGTTGTTGATTGAGAGACGCTATTTTCAACCGCCATCCCAAACTCCAACGCAAAAAAGTGCAAGCTTACGCTCGAAAGTGGATAGATGCAACTTGTTTGTTCAAATGTAATTTGAAATCATCACGTCAATGAAGTTTAGTTGATATACTAACTATTACCACAATATGCCATATTTCTTTCGTGCAGGTAAACGAGTGCCAACCCGACAATACAAATCCGCTTCCAGCATTGATTCACACGGTCGTACACCTGGACGTACGTCGACAAATATTGGACAAAGAATCTTAAGATCTTCTATTTTGACGTCAATGAGCGCGCATCACCCACAAACACCCGGCCGTGATGGTAGATCGCCACAAGACAAAGTATGGAGTCCGGCTACCGAAGCATGTCCAGTTGTGACCCGACTCAAGTTGATATATCCAGGTGGGTGAAAAGTTTGAAAAGTTTAAATTCAAAGTGTTTCTAGTATGTGCAAAGATTGATTTAATTTTCCCAATCTTTACAGTTAGGACAAATATATATTTCATTGAGCTTTCTTGAACTGTCGTACAGAGTAGTTTGCCAGATTATTGTTAATAGGTGAAGTGTGGCCCCAGATTTACTCATTTCCGTTTCGCTAAATTAGGTTGATTTTCATGCCCTTGTTTGTTGGAAACCTTGTTCGAAGCACTCCCATTCAACTATTTTTTTTATCGCAATCATATAAAATTTGTTGATAGATAGATGGATTTTATCAGATAACAAGTGATATTATTTTCAACTCTGACCATTCCGTGTTTCAACGCAAACTAGTCAAGACTGTGGCTTTACCTTTTGAAAAATTGGCTGTATCTCCAACTAGACTAGCTGTGTAATCTAAACGCCTATTTCTTAAAGAATTTTTTTATGAATGAATCGCAACATACACCCTAAAACAAGAGAAAATAATTTATTTTTGTTTTATTTTTTTAGATTCTCTCAAAGTTTTTGCATGCAAGTGCAGCAAACATCGTGTTCCGTATATCAATGATATTGAGTTCGATGTTTTCCTGAGAGAAGTTGTTCCAGTCACTCAGTTGATTGTTGTATCTGTAATCAACAGCTTACATGAAGATTCCAATCCGTATAGCGAAATGTTGGAAAATATATACGTTTCGAAGAACAAGTATGATTTTGTTTATGATAATAACAATTTACTCAATCGTTTCGGTTATCACGTAGATGTAGTATTTGCGTTAAGTTTTTAAATTAGCATTGAGAACTTATTGATAAATAGATTAAATTTTATTTACCGCATGCAAAAACTAGATCGAAAACAAGAGCATTTCATACCGAGAACCAGGCTCCGATGGGTTACAAGTACCGGCCTCCTACTCTCACATTCAGAAATCTGAAAAACCGAATCCCAGCTCTGGTAGATCAAAATCTTGACTGCAGCTTTCGAATACAAAAAATTTAAATATAATGATTTGATTCCAAAACCAAGTCTAAGTCCTAACCTCCCATTCCACAACGATCCTCTAACATTTTAGTTGCCAAATGATGTACAGTACTAGTGACATAGTCGTTCGGGCTTTTTATATTTCGCATAATATCAATATCAAGCATTACAGAGATCACCAATTGTCTCAATATGTAAGAAAATTAGGTAATACATATATGTCGAATGTCACCGATTTATACAGCAGCTCTAACTCTAAATACACAGGGCCTTGTTTCGACTGCATTTTTGCCACATAAAAATTCATATGAAAAATCAGATTTGATTATATCATAGAAATCGGACAAAACCCTGCCTGCAATGTCGTCATGATCAATACAGAATATTGCGATACGATTTAGCTCGTGCACATATTGATACAGATAGATCAAGACCATTACAGTTGGAACGACATTGTGTTGTCCCCGGCATGACACTGGTTTGTTCAAATTTTGTAGTGTTGTATAATATCAGTATTGTTTTGGGCTTCTTAATAATATTTTTTGATTGGCTTCCATACATGTCAATATTCCGAGGTCATCTGTTTTCGTTGCTATTGAAAATGTGTTCAATTTGCATGGGCGATGAATTTCTATATGCAATTACAGTATTGTCCTTGTATCCTATTTCTCATACGTTTAGATGTATTGTGGTGGTCGCTTGCTATTTGCTGATCACATATTTAATGGATACGGGAATGCTAGAAAAGATTTCAGAAAACAGATTTTTAAGTCCAGACAAGACTTTCATATGGGCCATTTCCTGCCAGATGATTTCAGGTAAGTTTATATATAAATAGAGCAATTGCTATCCAATTATGGACACAAGTAGGCGTGATTAGAAATTCTTTGAGCACATTTATTCGGTAATCGCATATTAAAATTCACTAGATTTTTTGTATTTCAATTACAGTACATACTCAACATACGACATTTTCTTGGTTACTGTGACCTAATTATTGAATTTACTGTTATTTATGGCTATACTTTCACTTCATCCATAAACTAGATTTTCACCGAGTCGAGGAAAACCAGGAGCTCGAGCTGCTTGGGGTGGCGAAATTGGTGGCACCGGAGTTCGTGGCAAAGGAAAACCAGGACTGTTACCGGGCCGCCAATCCGTACCTGCTACACTTGCTGCAGGGATGACACCTAAGTCCACTAACGTTGTAGTAGACAGACTATCTAAGAGTGCATCTTATTCTTCGTCTTCACAATCCGATCTATCTACAATCTACTCTCATTTGAAAACTTCCCCCAAATCTAAGTGAGTCAGAGTTTTGGTTCTTATGAGTTTGGTTGTTATGTGTTATTAGTGTTGCCAGGTATCATAAATTATGTTCTCATTTTAGCAGGTTCGACTCCGCCCGTGAGTTTGTCCAATTCAGCCTATCTGCTAAAGTTTACGTTCAGCCTCCAGCGAAAGACGTAAACCAAAGCCGAAATCAGAATTCTATATCCCCAAACAAAAGTTCCATGTCAACTGGAGATCCCGTATTATCACAGATGAATAATTTTTTAATGTTGCAAACTGTTAAGTAATAGTTTTCTCGGATTGCCCCTTTCCCATAACCGTCCCGTGTAGGAATATAAAGAAAAGTACTTTTCCGAATTTTCAACAACACTGTCTATCTTTTGTTAAAGCTAATTCGGGCAAAGTACAGGTTATATCTCCATTTATCTATGGCATGAGCTGAGTGCAAACCGGAAAAGATTCCGAATTCACACGGTTTATTGAAAAATATTTTAAGTACACGAAGCACAATGAGATTATTTATAGCACAATTTTATGAGCCTATTCGTTAAAGCAAACTGTGACACAACAAATGTATTATTATATATTATATTATTTTTGTTTTGCAAAATAAAAAGCAATTTCAATGTATATTTTTTGTTAATTATTCGACAGTTTTAATATTATACCCAACACAGATCCATGTCTTCTAAGGGGCCTAGAACATTTGAGCACGATCGAGAGAAGAGCAAAATAATCGTCATTACTCCATAGTTTTCATCGCAAGCTTCTGTATAATAAATATACTATGACAATAATAATCTTGTTATCGTAGCTCGAAATGGCCTTCACATTATGAAAACTCTTGTAGCCGATCTTCGTGACAGATTTCCAATTAAATTTTATGAGCATAAGTTTTTGGTCAAGTTCACTTGGGTCAAGTATTAATACAACCTTAGATAAAAAATCGTTTTCATGAATATCGGCGATTATTGATAATAATTAGAAATCGGTGGGTCGTGCTGAATTATACATATATGGAAAACAATAATGTGAAAAGTATTTTCAATAGTTTAACACAAGCGTCTTATGGTGGACCGCAAACTCGTTGCCAAATTATTCGTATTTTCCTATATTTGGTGTTAGAATTGGAATTATTTCGGCCTTTCAATAAGATTGCAATGCTTTATTCATGCCATTTATACGATGGTGGTATTTTAGAATAGTAATGCCATTATTTTTCCGTAAGTAGTACGAGAATACGAAAAAAAATAAACTATAATCCGGCAGTTTACTACACATTTTATGTCCTCAGCGGTATTATTCAGAGTAATTATGCTTTTATTTATTCGTAAGTCGACGCAACCACGAGTTACGTTGAACAAAAGTAACTTAATATACAGTAACGCATTTTAAATGCTGGTATCGGTCATGGATTTGAATATTTTACGCAACCGAAAATCATCGAAATAAAAATTGATCCAAATTATCAAAATTATTTTCTAAAGAGCGGGAAAAAGTATGAATTCTTGGGTATCGTAACAATTACGGCTTCACATAATTCTCACTTTTCGACATTATGGGAATGAATGTGTAAATAAGAAACCTTGTAAGGGAATGGCGACAATGCCCATCACGCAATTGGGCAAAATTGTCGCAACCATATGGGGCGCACGCTCGCACAGAAGAGAAAAAACAGAGTGCCGATTCTATTTCTCCGTCATTACAATACGCGAAAAAGCGCATAAAATCTTTGAAGATTTCCCTCGAAAACGAAACACCTAGCTGACAGCAAAAAATGTTTATCATTCGGGATTATTCGAAAATTTTCCAAACAAGTATTTGAATACTTCGATATTCGAATCGTTTGACAACCCTGACTTGACTTATTTTAGCCTCCGAAGAAAGAAGTTAATAATGAAGGTGTCCTGCAAAGTAAAACTCTCTGTGAAAGTGGGCCTCTATAAAAAAAAAAGGGGGTTGAGAAGCACTGGTTTTACATACCTAGCAATTTTAACAATAAAAGAAGACATTTAGATTGGGCTATTTTATTAAAAAACTTTTCAAAGAAAGAATAGAATATTTTCACTATCTTGATTTTGTTGCAGCTGCTTCTATCGCATCAATAAAGGTGCTGTGTGTTGTTCCTTCTCTCCATAGGAATCTGTGTCGTTCGCTGAAATCTTTTTTACCATCCCGACACTCACGCAAAAATTGTATGTATTGGATGGCAAACTGAAAGAAGTTATGAATGAATGAAAATGAATATTATCCTAGCATTAATTGAATCGTAATTAGTTGCAAAACATAGGCCAGAGTGAGGCCCGGTAAAATAATCAACACTTGGAATACTACAAATGTGAAATTGAAGTTGTATAGATGTAACACAAATTATCAGCCCATGTCCAATATCCGTAATCGGTAGCCTACACAGATTATTGCAGTGTTCGCCTGTAACTTATATATTTTTATCGAAATCAACGATTCCATGACTCTATTCTACGAGTGAAAGCCTACATATGGTAGGTTGTAAAAGTTTTACTTTGGTGTATCAACACTTACGTTCAACTTATTTCATCAGTGCGCGTCGTAAAAAGCGATAGTGAATGTCGGCGTAGTGTAACGCATAAGATTTAAATGTAAAAACCTGGAGTATCTGCTTCTTTTGGAGTTTTCTTCCTTTGGGCAAACGAACTGGAATAACGTTCTGTAAGGTTGTCATCGCTTGGTTAAATAACTTTAAACTTTGTCGCCCTTTCTTAGCTATATCGGCTCGTTTTTTCTTGTGGGAAATTTGAGAATTTTTCCGTATAACGTTGCGGTTCTTGGTCGTTGTACGTTTGGAAAGACGTAGATTGTGCGTATAATCGTCGCTTTTGTTGTCATTGACGCGCGATGAAATGCCTGCGTTCTCCTGTTGTTCGCCTTCTTGATTGGGTGGTCCTAATATGTCGGTGTAATAATTATTGAAGTAATCGTTCATCATTTCAGTTCCGTTTATGTCATCTGTAAAGCGAATTCGTAATCATGTTTACAAATTATTATGCTACATTATATTTCACATCATCACGTAAGGCCCTAAGTCAGTGCTTCCCAACCTTTTATAGCCCGTGGCCCCTTTCCGGAGCTTTTAGCACTCATGACCTACTTGTTTATCATTCCAAAGGTATTTAGTTTATTTGAGTATTATTTAGATTGATAGATTCCAAATCCCATTATGTTGAAACATGTCATTCTCAACAGTGAAGTGAAAACAACCTGCGAAATAACCTTACCAAGCAATGAAACTAGGAAGAACAGAGAGATATCTTGTGAAGGGAAAAAGTAAAATCATTCCTGCGCCTAGCATTATGGGCCCCTGCCAACCGTTCTGTGGTTCCCTCAGAAGCAGCGGGCCCCGGTTAGAAACCGCGTCCCTAGGTTATCTATTGTTTTCTACATATATTTCACAAGCCAGTAACAAAGTGCATTATATCTGGTTGATTAATCGATACAAATTCTTAAACTTCACCGCTTATCGACGCTATCAGTAAAAGTGCACAGAAGTGTTCTGACACTGAAACAGGTATTTAGTTTTAATATACATACATTAGTGAGGGAAATATAGTTTGATATCATTATTGTTAAAACAGCCTACCTGTGAATTGCATAAGTTCGAAGTTATATTGGTCGATAACAGGACATGTTAAATCTTGGGCATCCATATTTCCCTGTTGCAGTATATCTGACACTAGTAAGCCCATATGCTCAAAATTCGAATCAATTATGCTCGCTACAAATATTTTATGCTGGCCTCTCAGTATGACTCCTATACGAGAAGGAGATCAACGAGAAAAAATCTATGAAATAGCTCTTTTAATTTAACCCACTGTAAGCTTATGCCCGGGTTCCCGCTTTCATTTTCGGTATATCCTAACATTGAAAGTTATAAACAGGTCTTTGTTTCTTTGATTCTGCGACGTAAGAAGGGGACGAAGGAGCGTTGGTAATTAATCTGACGGACGCGTATTCTAAGTGCGGAAAACCGTTTCCTGCGGGAAGCATGGTGATGGCTTGAGTCCGGATTATGCTTGCATCGACATTTCCGATTCATTATTCTTGCCTTCTGATGTAACATATGAACATAAAGACAATGATTCTAAACCATTGAAATTAAAAGTCCTTTCATCTTAAGTCTAAATGGAAACATACTACATTCATGAGAAACTCAATAGATGTACTACACCCAACCCATACTAGTAAAAATATAATATTTTATGTATATATTTTTTAAATTTTTTATTGCCAAAACAGGTAAGTAATAAATTAAATAAATAAGTGATAAGTAAAATAACTACTCAGAGTTAATTTCATTACGCAAAATACAAAACTTTGCATAGGTTTGACGAAGGCTTGACATTTCGAGAAAAATTTGAACTCCATGATGTGGCGATATATTCATCTGGGTTTATTGTGGTTAGGTTGTCTGTAATGCTGAATGCAGAGCCGTCTATATTATCAACCAGTTGATGTAGTTTTGCGACACTATTCTCAGCATTGTAGCATGACTCTGCTTCGCTTTGGAATATATATTCATCTGTTGAATCTACATGCCTGTTGACAATTATTGTAGTCGCATCTACTGTGTCGTTATATATCATTGCATTCTGATATACAAATTGTGGCAAAGATTTGGTATCAACAACAAAATCATTTTCAAGTGTACTGTTCGCGAAAACATTGTTGTTTTCCTGTAAAATATCTGAGTTTTCTTCAAATGGAACAATTTCGTTCAGATCCTGTAGTAATTCATCTAAATGATTATCTTCTTCTTCTGGAGACATGGGATGGTATTCAGGAATATTTATATAAAATGGGGGGAAATTTTCTTCAGTTAGTGATTCTGTGCTTCGTTCGATTTCATTATTTACAGTAAATTGATTTTTAAATATATCTTCATTGCTGCCATACGATGTGCTTGCAACTGATTCTAGACTTTCTGGCGTATGTGGAGATTCCGGAGGAGTCATTACGCTTTGCAGCTGAGAAGTTTCAACTCTCGTTAACCCTTCTGCCGCGGCATCAATAGTTGTTATTAAGTCTTCTTGTTGTGAACCCGCACTCCACAAAAAGCGATGTCTGTCTGCCCAATCATTCTGCCCTTCCAAGCAACCGCGAAGAAATCGTATATAACAAGATGCAAGCTGTAAAGAGAAAAATTATATGATTGCTACACGGTAAACTCTCAGTATTATATATAGAGGGATGAATATGTTAAAATATAAACAAAATGGAATAAAAACTGGTAATAAAACAGTAGCTAAAATATTTTATTTTGACCATAAATCAGCTATTTTCCGTGTCCCACAATTTTTAAATTTGTCTGATACAGTATACAAATATTCGACATTGACTAAATAATAAAAAATTAAATTTTGATTCTATTCGAAAGCATGTACTATATTTCTTTCATGTGTTCACAAAATGTTTACACGTTACATTTATCCATATCCTTACGCCTAAACGTTTTATCTCTTAATTTTTTGAAAATTGTTTCGTTCCTTACTGTGAGCGTTTGCTTTTTATGTAGTTTTCTTCCCCTCGGCAAACGAACGGGAATAGCTTTTTGGAGAGTTTCGAGAGCGTCGTTGAAAATTTTAAGTCGTTCTCTTTCACGAATTGCAGCATTTGGTCGTCGTCTTTTCTTTTGCGGATTTGGCGTCGATTCACAGGTTTTAATGGTTCTTTTTCGATTCTTACGTGGTTTTTCAAAGTCATTCTTCACTTGGGTGGAAGACATTATGAAATAAAATATTAGGATCTAAAGAAAAAATTTAGGAAATTAGCTGGCTGTTTCACAATCTTCATGAATTGTTAATATATATATATGGCAATTCCTATCAAGTATTTTATTTTATTATCAATTACAAAAAGATAACGATGAAATTAACTTCTTTTAAAAATGTAACATTGCGCGAAACATACAGCGCCCTCAAGTGATGTAAGTTTTCTACACCTAAAAGAGTCATCCTGTCATTCTTCAAATTTGCGAACGCACCTTAGACAGTTTGTTCTGACTTAACTATATTGGTTGGTCGCGTGTAGACAGAAATTATTCTGACTAAACTCCACAGATGCGCGCTGACATAGTATAAAAATTGCGCAATCCCCATATGTTGGATAACTTGTTGCTGCAGCCTAGAAGATGATGATAATGTATGAGATATTTCCTGATATTTAATACTTATAGATGACAAAAAACATGTTTGACCTAATATTTTTCGCTGCTTCAATCTGTTTTCTTTGCATGTTTAAGAAGGAAGGCGGAAGGGAGATGAGTTGAGAAGATTCCCTCATTAATTTCTATTTTTGTATCAGCTATATTTTCGAAAACAAGACTTTCATTAGGAAGAGTAGTTTCCGTTCCATCATTATCACTAAGGATTAATTACTTCAACTAAGCTTAATACTTTCCTATTTATACCCGGAGTACTACTAGATGATAACATACGACGCTAGTAAATAAGATTATTATATATTCGTCGAATTGCACATATTTATGCTATAGTTTTTCCTGTGCAAAATCTCAAGTTATTTGGTACTGATTGTATATTTTGCTGCTTTGCAACTAAATACATGAGGTTGTCGCGGTATAAAACTTTTCAAATAAAAATCAAATTGCGAAGTCTGTTTACTTATTCATTCCTCACTATGTATACACCTATGCTTACACGTTTGCAAAGGAAGCAAAGGATGTTGGTTCCTGTCTTGTATTTTCCAAACAATTATTAAATGATATTTTACAAGGTGCTATCTTATATCTATTTTGTACTTGGTAACGAGAAAGTTAGTCCGTATAGACGTCGAAATTTAATTTGTTCGCAATCGTAAGCTTTCACGATGTAATAAACTATAGAAGATTCAATACCAAATGACATGATTGGATTTTTGTTGTGATTGTATGTAATTCTGCCATAAATACCTATCCTTACTTTTCCGTCAATCACGCTTTATGTTAAACCGAAACGCATGAACTTCTTTGGTCGATGTGACGCTTCTGTCATCTCTTATATATCTTTTCGCTGTAAATCTTCGTTTTTTTAATTCTAACTATTCTGTAACTCAATAAAATATGTCTCTGAGATTAACCTGTTGTTACCATACATAAAGTTGTTTTAATTTACAAAATGTTTGTGTACAATGTTTACACAGGCGATCTGTTTATGTACAACTTGACAGTAAGCGTTGATTTATTATCGTTAATAATGGACCATTTCACACTTTCCCGTCTACAGGTTGTGCGGGGAAGCTTATTGCAGTAGAAACGTTCACACATTTACGTTCACTGATCGAATATTATTTATCAATCTAGCCTTCCTGTCCAGGTTATCATCATTTATTTTTTAATGTTCGGAACTGAAAGAATAATTCTTTAAAGCAAAAAGTTTGATTCCTCAGAGAGAATTACTCAAACCCTGATCACGGGTAATGAACTAATTTCAAGTTTAACATACACATGTGTTTAAGTGTATTCAGGATTGAAAGAGTTGACAGCATTGCGCTAAAATGCCATCCATTATATTTGTGAGCATAAGAGACGATTGAAAATCCGCTGGAGCCCAGAAAAAAAACATTTGGAAATAAACCGACCATATATATTGAAAGAAGATTTCAATCAAACAGACAAAAGTGTCTTATATATTTCCCTCGGTTTTCAATTTATAATGTGTAAACAAAAGTTGTTGCTGAATGTCGTACCGATTCAGAATACATGTATCTTCTATGATCTATAGCAGGGGTCACCAAACTTTTTTGACCGCGGGCCGGGTATGACTCAAATTGTGTTGAAACGGGCCGGATGAATATTTTTGTCAATGCAATACAATAAATTCACAAAAGTTGGGAATATCGCAGAACATAGATCGAGAACAACCTAGGAAAAAAAATTAACAAGATTTCTATATCTAGACAACTATCCTGAGGGTAGCTGTTATCAAAACGTTGCTGTCATGAATTAGAAATGTTACAAAATCCGCGGCAAAAAATGTACGCATCACGTCTACCGTTACGCCGTGTTGAAATACCGCTCATAAAAACGACTGCCTGCTGTAGCTTGGAATTCTATGAAATTTTGACATAATTTAGATAAAATAAACAACTATTATCTGGTATTTGAATTTTTTCAATAGCGCATAAATTTCCCAACATTCGACGCTTTTAAAAATTACGCTCCAGTTATACGTAGTGCAAATAATGATATTGTCTACGGACACCAATACAATTTATATGGACGTGTGTATTTCTTGTCTAACTTGATACTTACCAATTTTTATGAAGTTCGTACAATCAGAACATCGTTAATTATTACCCACAATGAACCACTGTCAAACTATCATGCACAACTCCAGCGTTTATTTGCGACGATCTTTCGGCGGTGTCAATGACCGTTGCCAGAATAAAATCCTGAAATAGTCTCAATATACCATAGATGTGACGCACATCGAAAGATTAGTGATTGATATGTGTTATTTTTCCATATTTAGTTCAGTTCTTATCAAAAAAGTAATAGGATCATTATGGAAAAAATTGGCTGTCGGTCGGTACTAAAATTCCGATATCTCCGTTATTTCTTGACCGTTTATTCCAAACTTGGTATTGTTTTCTATTTTTACTCAGATCTTTCCACTGGAGCAGTTTTTATTTAAATCGGATGAACTTCAATTTTTTTGTAACATACCTACATGAATATCCGCATTAAAGCGGTACAAAAGTTAGTGTGGCTTTTGAAATTGGAGCAGTACGCGAGGGATTACAGTACTGTTAGCACAAAATGCACATTCGACGTTTATTTTAGCACGAAAAACAAACAGTTTCGTCGAAAGCAAGCGCCACGAGTGTACAAGTGTATCGCAGAAAACGTTACGTACTGGTAGCATTCAAAGTCGCAAAAACGAAGTTTTGTTTACAACCACGACTGAAAATCTGTCAGAGTGACAAAAGTGTCTGAGCGGATGCGGAAAGCCCTATTATTACGTCACTTTTCTGCATCTTGCCGATTGGCCAATGTTACAAAATAAACAAGGACGACGATGCTCGTGAAAATCTTCCTTGGAAAAAATTTAGCCATTTTTGCGTGTTATTGCGGACCGGATAAAATGACGCCGCGGGCCGGATGAAATGACGTCGCGGGCCGGATCCGGCCCGCGGGCCGTAGTTTGGTGACCCCTGATCTATAGGAACCTGAACATAACTAAAACCAAAAAAAGTTATTCCCCATTCAATAAATCTCGATAATTAGAAGATGAAGATCGAGAGGAATACAGTTTTAAGTTAGTTTTAAACCACCAAAAAACATCTCAAAATATCATCCTATTCATAATGCTATAGTTTACTTTATTTTTTGTATAAAATATTCTATTTACGGATGTTTTGTATGAGAATATTTTAAACATATATGAAGGACGAACTCTCTGTGTCTCATGATGAAACCTTTTCAAACATGTGAGTCAATAGACCTTATTCATCAAAAACCCATCCTACGCGCAAATAGAAAAGTGATGTAAACAAAACAACTTTAACATTAGCTCTTATGGGGAATGTGATCACCAGAGCAGAAATTTGCATTTTTTGTAATTTTCTGGATATCTTTCATTGTATACGTGAGCAGTTTTGAGGATAAAATATTTTTTATATTTTTTTTTAATATTTTTAGCATGATAAACATGGTCAAGATTTTTGATAATCGTTCACTAAAATTTTAATGAGCGCGGTATTTCCGATGACGTCATTGTCACTATACCATGAGATTCTGCCAACGCGCCGTGCTCTGTGGGATATGCGCTGTGATAACGGAATACCGGTAGTGGTACACGGACTACAACTGGCGTTTAACGAAAGACCTATTTTGGTTTTTATTGGATGTTATATATTTCATGAATTCCATGTAAGTATGTAAATTTCTGGTACACCTTTCAAAATCCAATCGCCTAACTCAGTTCATATGTTGACACCATGCACCTATCCCAAAATTCGTGATGTTCAGGGCTGGATTTAGACCATGAGAGGCCCTTTCATATTTTTGAGCTCAGAATTTCTCTCTGAACAACATCACATGTCATTGCTTAAAATTTTAAAATATGAGTGCATTAAACTTTTTATTCTCCCCATTCATGGGAGCGAATTTTTAAATAAAAGAATACAAATTTACTGAAGGCAGTTTTGCTTTCAATTTATTTATTCAAACAACCGCTACAGCCATACTTTAACATAGAAACTTCCAGCAGAATGCGCATAATAATTTCCCTTATTATGATGCAAATGCCGCAATAATGGCTGTTTGCAACGTGGTTGAAACCAGTTGTGTAAAGAATTTTCTACTCTGAAAAGATTGATAAATATAAATACTTTTCGTAGGGTTTAAACTTGTCAAGTGTTCAAAAGAATTACAAACTTCGAAACCGAGTTTCGAGGCCCTAGGTTTTAGCCTGTCTGGGTGAATCCCGCCCTGGTGATGGTTCCTACAGCAAATTTCTGGCTCTAATCACTCAGCAGATTGAAATAAATGGTTTTCAGCATTTATTAGCAAAGATAGATATTTTGATTAAACATATAGTTCAACTTGAAGCCTGTATATATATATTATAAATATATGTTCCCTTATTACTGCATTGTAAGAAGGCTTTCCACGCTATCAAGTCTATAAGGTTTTAGCGTCTTCCAATGTCTCAGAAGGAAACTTCAGTCTTCATTTCTCATATTCTTTTTATTAATGTCATTAGCATTTGAAGCTTGACTGATTCCAATGTAAGTTTTCCATTGTTGTTTAATGGAATATCCTAAACGTGACTTCAAATTTTTTTCTCACTTCAATCATCACATGTTTGAATACCCGAGCTGACTTCAACTGATTTGTTATTGATTTACAATTTTTTTTTATAAATTAACTGCTGTACTTGATAAGTGTCCACTAAGTGAAAATCTACAAAAAAGCAGTGGTTTAATAATGAACAACGATATTTCACCGAATCCAGAAATATTCCGAAACTTAGTCAACCCTTCTTCCAAGGAGTAGGGTTTTTAGTTAAATTGTTCAAACATCTTAATTACTTAATTTGTAAAAAAGATCACGCATTAAAGAATACGCAGACCGTAGCCCGGTTACCTCAGTCGGTAGAGCGTCCTTGTTCCGGGAAGATTGGATTGTGTATAGCTGGCGTTGGACATATCACAATGCAGAAACATACTTATATGTGTATTAGCTGCTAAAACATTGATTTTTACCATCTGTTATGTATTTTGTTTTAATGCAGACCGTAGCCGGGTTAGTTCAATCGGTAGAGTGTTGAACTTTTTATCCAACGATCAAGGAGTCAAGTGCGCTATCGGGCGCCTCTTTGTTCCGGAAAAGTTCAATTTGTAAAAATAGATCACGCTGAGAAGATTAACGTTATATTGTGTATAGCTGGTGTTGGACATAGCACAATGCACAAACACACTTATAATTGTATTGGCTGCAAAATCATTGATTTTTATCATCCGTTAGGTCTTTTGTTTTAATGCAGACCGTAGCCCGGTTAGCTCAGTCGGTAGAGCGTTGGACTTTTAATCCAACGGTCAAGGGTTCAAGTCCCTTATCGGGCGCCTCTTTGTTCCGGGAAGGTTCAATTTGTAAAAAAGATCACGCATTAGAGAATACGCAGACCGTAGCCCGGTTACCACAGCCGGTGGAGCGTCTTTGTTCCGGGAAGATTAGATTGTGAATAGCAGGCGTTGGACATAGCACAATGCACAAACACACTTATAACTGTATTAACTGCCAAATCATTGATTTTTATCATCTGTTATGTCTTTTGTTTTAATGCAGACCGTAGCCCGGTTAGCTCAATCGGTAGAGTGTTGAACTTTTTATCCAACGATCAAGGAGTCAAGTGCGCTATCGGGCGCCTTTTTGTTCCGGAAAGGTTCAATTTGTAAAAATAGATCACGCTGAGAAGATTAACGTTAGATTGTGTTTAGCTGGTGTTGGACATAGCACAATGCACAAACACACTGATAATTGTATTAGCTGCTAAATAAACAAATTCCGACGATCCGGTATATGTTTCGTTTAACGC